TATGGATAATAACATTTTGTCTGATCACACGCTGAGAATAAACACTTTTTGACGACAGCGGAACCAACGTCAGAAACCCATGTCGCAGTCGGACCTATTTTGGAACGTACACAGTTGAGAGGCGCAGTTGAAACATCAACGAGAAGCTGTTCTTCTAACCGGAGCTCGTGTTGGTGCGTGTTCACTCGTTTTATATGAACCATTATGTTAACATGTGTCCAAACACAGCTTGATAAACACCTCCCTGTTTTCTGCCTCTTTAGCTGCTAGCTTCCTCCGCGCAGCAGCGGGACCATGTTCACCTCCCAGACCTCGTCCTTCCAGGAGTCCATCGACGTGGAGGAGAGAGACGACTTCGACAGCGAGGACATCTCCGGGTACAGCCAGAAAACTCAGCTCAACTGCTACTACACCATCTACCTCTACCAGGGCACGAGGTGAGGGGCGGTGGGGGGGGGGCTGTTGCCACAAGGTAACAGCTGTTGCTACAGGCGAGTGTTACACATGTTGTATGAACCGTTACTGTCACGATGTTGTTGGATTATTTAATGTTTTTCACAAGATAAGATCAAACTTTATTGATCCCACGCCGGGGACATCCCTTGTTACAGCAACAGACAAGTCAGAATGGGACAAGAGAATAAAGTCAACAGAATTAGAGTCATAATATAATTATTGTTCTTTTTTTTACTACAACCAGGAGAATATCTCAGGTATGCAATGTGATTATTATCTGAATCTTACCTTTGAGCTCTCTTAAAGTGACCCTTTCCCGGACCTGCAGATAGTGGCGCTCACACAGGTGAATCCAGATTTGTCCGTTAAACCAAGCAGCAGGTTGATGAGTAAACTGTCGATTGTCTTAGATCTGAGGCTTCTGCGGAAAATGTGGCATGGAACCAGAGACGAGCAGACTCCACAACCAGTCAGGAAGACTTTAGGTAACACAGGAGCCATCCGTCATACTTCTCCTTCCTCTCAGTGGTCGTTTCTCTTTGGCTTTCACTGTGTTGTGCATTGGTGCTTCCACGGGCTGCTACTGGAAATCTGTTCAACATGGAACCAATTCTGTTTTCATTCGTGATTTCATTCTGATTGGTCATCGCTGTGCTGCTGAGTGACATTGCCTTTAGGTGTCTTCCTAATCTCAATCAGACTAGGTTGATAAAATGTGATTGAAAAACCTGTGAATGTGTTGTAGAAAACATTCTGCACAGTGACAGCCATGTGACTCAGTTGTGTGTTGTGTTGGATGTGGCTTATGATCATCCGCTTTCTTCATCTCTTCTCCATCGACTTGACTGGCCTCCAGATTTCTCATGGCCTTCACTGGCTGCTTGTGTCCACACTGACTCTCTGCCCTGCCCACAGCCTGACGCTGATCGACAGCAGCCTGCCATCAGAGGCGGAGCCTGAGCTGCGGACCTACATCTCAAGGAGGCTGAGTAAAGGAGCCCTGCTCGGAGGCATGGGAAACATCGCTACTGTGGAACTCAGGCAATCATTTGACATATTCCATTAAAAACCTTTGCATCAGTAGCAAAAACTACATTTTCTGTCCAATAAGTAACAAATGTGTTGATTATTTACTTTTTCCAGTCTCCCAGAAGAGGCGGTTGGCTGCTACTGCTGCCTCCTGGAGCAGGAAAGGTCTCCTGAGCAGCCCGATGCTGATGGTAATGGATATGTAATCTGTTTCATGGGTGGCTCTGAAAAAGGACTGAACCTATATCCTTTGCATTGAAACGTCAACCCAAGTTAAAAGCATCATCCAAGTTCTTCAAGCATCAATTATATACATGATCCTTGCTCTTACAAAAAGTTCTTCCCTGATTGTTACAGTCCGCACACATAATTTTATCTTTTCAGATAGATGCAAGTACTCGTTTCACTTCCTTGACCAAACATACATTTAGATTAGAGCTTGATAAATATGTCCAAGGCCTGCATAGCAGCCTGCAAACACCAGAGGTATGAGAATAAAATAACACTGTGATAAGTTGTATATTTGTCATTACTTCTATGATGCAAGATTTGATTTGTTCTTCTGTTGATGTGTCAGCTGCAAAACCTGGAGACGGAGGTGCGTCCCTATCTGAGCCGGTGGTACGAGGAGTCTGTTTTGCACATTTACAGAGTGGTACAGCTCGTCCAGAGCAACATCAGCTTCCTGTTGCACGCTGTGAGTCATTTATCACCACTACACTATTTAAAAAAAAAAGAAAATACCGAAACAGCTTATTGGAAATACTGGAATTAAGTTATCATTACTTTTCAATTTGTATCCAAATGTACATTTTCTGTATACAGGCTCTGAGTCACACACATGTGGAGGTCGTCAATTCAGACGAGAGGACAAAGGCTGATGTGTCCAGGTGAGTCAGTGCCAGAAACTACATCACTGTGTGTTTTATGTCCAGAGCAGCTAGTGTACCTGTCTGTAGTGTATTTCTATGTAGCCCAGTGTAATACGTACCCATCTGTTGTATTCTGCACCAGGTTCATCAAAGCAGCCAGTTTACAGGGTCTGTCCCAACAAGACACCACAGCAGCTTCTCTGTGTAAGGCGCTCTCAGAGGAGACACAGTGTGACCTGGTCATTGACTGCTCCGCCAGCCCACCCACACTCTTAAACACTGGTGAGTCCTGCTTATGTTACAGAAGCGTATTGCATTCACTTGAGAAAAAACATCTGCTCTGCTCTTTTTGACTTACGAGAGTATTATGTCAGAATTCTGAGAAAAATGTTTTTTGGGGAAAAAAACCCACTTGTTTTGCTGAATTAACAAAAACCCTTTTATATTACAAGTCCTGAGGTGCCTTTGTAAACACACTTGGAACAATGCCATCTATATCTTAAAAGACACAAGTATCTCCCAATGTTGCAAACCAAAATAAAACTGGATCAAGCACAGGCCGGATGTAAATTCAGAAAAACAAGAGCAGATGTTTTTTTTCTCAAGTAAATGCAGTACAGATCCATACAACAATAGCCACTTGATAAAGAAAATATACTTTTTGTTTGTCCTAAGAGTCTAATAAAAGTGTTTTGTCTCCCCTCAGTCAGTAATCGTTTCTGTGATGACTGGAATCAGGCATTTCTGAACGCTGCAGAGCGTTGTAATCCCTTCTTGCTCAGACAGATTCTGGAGAACTTCAAGCTTAAGGTGGGAAACATACACACACATACAGAATATAGCAGGGTTTTAAAAAAAGTTTAGGACTGCAACCATCAGCTATTTCCATAGTAGACGAATCTGCTACTGTTTTCTTTATAAATGGGATTTAAAAGAATCCCATTATAATTCCATGAAGCCCAGAGGGACATCTTCAAATTCCTTGTTTTATTTGAAACATCAACCCAAAACATATGAAGAAGAAAAGTAGCACATCCTCTCTTTTGAGAAACTTTGATGTTAAACATTTTATTTGAAAAATTAGTGATTAACAGCATAACAAAAATAATTGCCATGTTTATTTATTTAAAATTAGATTGAACAATGTTTTACTCATCTGTCTCTGTCTATTCTTTCTTTCTATCAACCACCACTCCTGCTCCGCAGGCCATCCAGGATATGAACAGCCTGAAGCGCTTTGTGCGACAGGCAGAGATGAGTCACTACGCCCTGTTCCGCTGCTGCCAGTTCCTGCAGGGCTGCGGAAATGGGGATGTGCTGCTGCAGAATGCCAGGGCGGAGCACAGCGACCTGCCCGAGGCCTGCAGCATCATCACCGTCCTGGAGGAGTTTCTCAGGGATCAGTCCCAAGCCCAGGCCTGATTCCAATATGAAATTTAACTCCAAGTTCCTTTACTCCAAGTACTTTTCGAGTTGATGGTAAAACAAACTGCTCTACCAGCCACAAAGTAGATCATTTATTATCACTCTGAACACTACATCCTATTTTAATTCTCAGATTGCATAACATTTGGAAAAGTACTGAATATATACATAAAACACTGACAACTTTCAATGAGCCTTTCTCAACTAATGTGTCTTTAGGGGCAAATCATTGTTTATTCACTCAGTAACGTCACACACAATCCAGGTTCATAAATAGTTGAACTCAAAGGTAAAGTCCTCAGTGAAGGTTAATTTAAATTTAAGACTAGAAGATCACTCAGCAGAGCTCATACCGCCGTCAGGGCCGAACATTCCTACACATGATGGTTTAGTTCTTATGGTAGAAAAAAAGTAGTGGTCTAATAAGCTGAATTTATTTCTCATAAGATATAGTTGTAAACAGTGTAAAATGAAGGTCTTTGTATTATTTCCTGAGAAATTAACAAATGTTGAAAAATGTTCAGTGTTGCCATGTTAAAGAAAGTTAAAAAACACTCACACTGGATCGGCCACTGAATTCATATCAATACAAAAGGTATTGGATTATGATTCTTCTCTCACAGAGGTTGATTGAAATCGGTTTAGTAGTTTTTGTGTAATCCTGCTGACAAATAAACCGACACACAAACAAACTAGCAGACATGGGTGAAAACATAACCACATTGGCTGACATGGAAATAAGATCAACCTGTAGATCACAATTTCTTTTTAAACTTGTTGTGTAATGTGAGTTGTGTTTTGCTAACTGACAATGATCACAGCACGGAATTGATCCAAACTAAACCAAATTGTTTTGGTTCCCTTTTGTGAAGAAACATATTAAGGATGCACAAATCACTTTCATGCATTGCTTGTTCCATAGGCTTTGTTTTTGCTTTTCCCTTTCAACCCAGTTCTTGCAGTACTATATTATTTTTGTCTAATGGATACTGCTAGTATATGTATGTACTGTATGTGATATTAGACATCTGTGTAATTTATCTGTGGAAATGAAGCGTTATAGGTATCATGTAATTTTTGGACATAACTTGTACATTAGAACAAATTATTTCCTTCGCCAGCTCAAGTTTGTGAGAAGATGTCAGGCGCTATGTGACGAGTCACTCAATTCATGTTCTAAACATTTGTGTGGCTTCAAAGTTTATAATTAGCCACTAAAAAAAATGAGTAAGTAAGAATTAAGATAAATCAAAGAATATAAATAAATGTCCTCACAATAATATCAGCATGCCTTAACTTTATTTTCCTCCATTCAAACAAGTCCAAAGTGAGAACAGCAATATCAGTGTCGGTGGTGTTTACTTTAAACTGTGAAGCAGGTGACTTGTACATTTTCCTGTTGTGATCGATGGTGTTGCTGACCCACAGTGAGTATATGTGGACGTTTCTGTACAGTGTGTTCTCTGTAGTTATAAATGACATGAACTTCTCGGCTTCTATAGTCAGAGATGAAATTAAAACCACAGTGGAAACTCTCTGTTGTGTTGTGCAGGTTGTCTCATTTGCAAAAAGGTGACAAACAGTAACTACTCCTGTGAGAGTTGTATAAATTGTTTTGCTTAAACCTGAAACACAAAAGATTAAGATATTAACAGTCTCCTGTGTAAAGAATTGCTCCACAGCTGGTCGTCTGGAAACCGCACATCATATCCTCCAGTAGACTCCGTCCTCATGCTCCGTGTCTGCAACCAGAGAGAAACAGATGAGAAAATTGTCGCTCATAACATTTAAGCCAGTGGTTCTCGAGCTATTCGAGTCTCAACCCACCAGTGTAATCTGGTGCACGCGATGTGTTTCTCTGCACCACTATAATTCTCAATGCTTAGCTTTAGATTTAGCTATTAACCTATATCAAACCTCACATTCATTTCAAACATCCTCGAAAACGCGGTTGCTAACCATTTATTTAATTATTTGAACAAGATTGTTTGAATGGATTTAGAATCCATCATAGCACTGCTGAAAGTTACCAACAACTTTTTCATGGGCTTGTCTCTAAACGCGTCCTTCTGGATCTTCATATCGTATTTGACACAGTGAGGGGAGTAAAGGAACAGCACCAGACTGGTTGTACTTATTATATAGATTACAATTTGTTAATGTAATCAACGACTCCATGCACACAAACGTTAGTCATGGAGTTCCACAAGGTTTTGTACTGGGATCGATACGTTTCACTTTGTATATGCTTCCTTTAGGCAATATTATCAGAAAGCAAGATGACACTCCGCTGTATATATCTGTGAAGTTAAAACTCTAGGAATGTTTTAAAGACATGAAGGCCTGGATGACCACTATATTTCAAAATTGAAACATCTGAAGACATTGTTCTTGAGTCTAAATATTATCTGACCATACGTTTACTTTAGACACTGACAGGACCGGTTGTACCAGGAAAGTTGGTGAAAGGATGCAGTAAGTTTCAGGGATTCGATTTAGGTGCAGATCCGGATCAGGGGGCCGATGCAGGATATTTTTCACACCTTTCCAAGATTCTGTGTTTTTTTATTTTCTGTTGATTTCTCTTTCGTGGTGTGTGCAGATCCAAAACTGTTGGGCCGTGGCCGGGGTAACGTTCTCCGAGTGTCACTCTAGTTACCTGTTGTGTGAGCAGGCTGCTCCCTCAGTAGAGACCTCGGTGTGTCGTAGATGCTCTCCTCTGTGTCTGAAATGGATTAAAAAGATATTTCCATCTTACAGAAGCTCATTCTTTTGGTGTAACTCAGTCTGTGTAGAGTTTATGGAACACATGTCTCACCTTGGTTACCAGCAGACCTCCTATAAGACAGAGGAGTGTCATACACGACCTCCTCCATCTGTGTTGAAATGCTGATCTCACATCTCTCTGAGGAGACATTATTATATATGATAGTGTCAGTTTAACCACAACTGTGCTGCATGTTGGGTTATTTTAGATGCTGATCAAAAGCATTTTTAAGATCATACTGTTTCTAAGTGGTAAAACATCATAGTCCTCTTCTCGTCTGTCCTGTGAACTGCTCAACCCGCCGGACCACTGAGGGTCGTTGAGACCGTCTCCTGGAAACAAATAAGTTCAGCACCATGTCTGCAACAGAACAAATAGCTCAAGACTTGTGAAGATGCAAATATGCACATTAATTGAAAGTTTACCACTTAGCTGCTGGTATTTGCAGGCCCACGGCATGTTTCCGTACACGGCCTCCTCGCTGTTCGCCTCCTCAGGCGGGCAGACGGGGGGGGGCACGCTCCTGGTTTCACAGGGGATGTGGACAGAAGGAGTCGGGGCTGAGAAGGGCCGAGCAGGCAGAGACACTGTTCTGTTCAGTCCGTCTCGCTGCTCCCACTCTTCAAGCCTGAGGAGAACAGAGTGCAAAGGTCACAGCCTGTCAGACTGTCCTGTGCAGCTGTGCCGGTAGTTTTCTGTGAAAAGAGTTTGAGTCCAGTCCAAACACGTAAACATGTTATTTCATCCGAAACATGTGTGTTCATAAGTCTTCCTCCTACTTACTGTGTGTCTGAGACATCTGAGATCCAACAGGCAGAGAGATGCATGGCCTGCCACAGTTTTCCTACCCACTGCTTTCTGAGAGCTGCCGTCTCCGCTGCCTACACACACACACACACACACACACACACACACACACACA